GCACGCAAAACGCATTAGCATATAAACAAGAAGAGAAGACAACAACTTTGTGTCTTCCAAAGCGTCGACGGGCTAATGAAACCTGTTTGGAAGCTCATTACGTTTTAATAAACCGCTTTGTGAGCGGCGGGCATAACGTTTAATACATGTAATTTAGCACCTATTAAATTCTTCAGAACCGTAATTAAGGCGTATGAGGCTTTGTTTGGCTAAGCAATGTAAATTAAGCGTAATCTCTCAAAACACGACTAGCGCGTTTAGTTCGACAGACTAGTGAAAAAAACAATGCCTCTCATACAAACTCATACAAAGTTTGTTTTCCTTGATGAAAATTTTGTATTAATTTATAGGTAGGATCAATTCTGGATTACAAAAATTTGGAACGGCAAAACAATGTCAATTTGTATCTCAAATGAGCATGAGCGACGATAATAACTTTTCAACATGAATCTGGCTGTACATCAATTTTAAAAATGGCTAACTCTCTATGACCCCACGATCAACTGCTGGCGTACTACCATGTAGAATGTAGAGATATACAGATTGAATAATGTCATTTTTGTTTTATTTGCTCAGATAAATCCGAGCGTTCCACTTTTGTTGTGTTTTTGCGTTTCGTTACGGAGCCGCATCGCGCCGGTAATCGCGTTACGAGTCTGGCCGCTTTGAAGAGCACAGATTGCAATTTTTTGGAAATATTTGGGTCAACAGAATGCAGCGCGTGTTCCTACATTAAAAACTTCTTTTCGGTATTAACTTTATAGGTCGCGCGCGACTCTGTGGCAGAATACCCGTATCAAATGCATTAGCACAAAGTATTTTAAGAACTAACTATAAGTACCTAGTACATACGCGCGCATTAAAGATAAAGTAAAACAATCATTATGATGACGACAAAATTCACAAAGTCTGTTATGTAATTGTAATTTTCTTAGTTCGACCTACGAGTATACTCGTACTACACAGTTTAAAGTGATGAACTAGTAATACAGTCTAATGTTATTCGATCCGAGTCAGTTCCAGGAAACAGCAAGGAAGCCAAGTTTCAGTCTCGAATATGTTAGCCAAGTAATTTACTTACAAAATAGGTTGGTCAACTCAATCTTCTCGCCTTTTATGACACAAAGTGTGCCAAAACCCTTATCACATGCATCATCCTCCGCCTTTACTAATACAGGGTGTCGTTAAATTTATGTCCACACACCCCGCAACAAAGGGTGTCCTCTGTAGAGATTTTTCATCGGATGTCCTGTCAATTAACATGCAAATTGGAGTCAGAGGCCAGCACGCCGAGCGGCAAAAATTGCAGAATTTGAACCGTATAGTCACGAAAATAAGGAAGTTATATGCTATATCGAAGACTGTACACGGTTTTACTGCTATATTTTATTCGAAATATAAAACACGAAGTTAATTTGGGATTGAGGAATGTTTCATGTGACGTCTGATTTGAATAATGCTCGTGATTTTGTTACGGGTTTAATGCGAATTTGAATGGGGGGATTTTAGATATGAAAAATGATTCAGCCGAGAGAGTCAATAAAGCTGAGTTGCTATGAGAAAATGCTAGTGTGGCGTTGACGTCTCTATAAGCTTAGGCTGGGTTGCACCATCTTACTTTAACAAACGTCAAAAATCTGTCAAACTCCATACAAAAAGCACCGGTTATCGTTATAGTTACGATCCGGTTATAGTACTGAATGAAGTCGATATTTGGGACGTGTCGTGTATAAGCGAGGTCCCAAATATCGCCACTTCGGGACAACATATTATGTGCTGATTAGAAGTGGCGGTAGAAACTCAGTTTAAAATATAAATCTTACATAATCTTAACACCTCATCTTTCCGATTCTTGTCACCACGTATCAGGTAACCCAAAACATTGAGTGATTAAATCGATACATTTATCACGCAGGTCTAGTGTAAGTAATAATGAAGTCAGAGGGGTGAGATACAGCTAATATTAATTTTCAAGAATTTACGAAACTTACTAAGTGCGACAATGCCTGACTGTAATATAAAAATTTCAGTCTCTATCTATCTCTCTCTCAAGCACAGACTCAATCCATCTCTAGCTTCCTGGTTATGTGAACCAATCACAGAAAATGTTTTTTATAACTAAATAAATTACACTCAACATAAAAATGATATTCATTCAATTTGTCTAAGCTTTAATTCATTTTCCTTAAACATCGAAATGATACGCCGGTTTTCCTCCACACAAATATTGGGAAATAATCTGTATTATTTTCCAAGAAGCAGATATGTTACATGAGTATATGGCGAAGCTTCCCGAACGCTGCCCATCCGAGTTGGATTCGACGATTGACCTCTTTCTCGAAGTTGGACCTACCTAACTGGACTGTTTGTCCCAGGTATACATAATTGTCGACAACTTCGAGTGTAGAGTCTCCAACCTTCAGAGGAGTGGGTGCAACACGGACATTAGACATGATTTTTGTCTTGTCCATGTTCATTCTGAGGCCCACTTGTTGAGAGGCTCTACTGAGGCCATCGAGCATTGTGCCTAGATCCTCCAAGGTCTCAGCCATGACTACGATATCGTCCGCGAATCGAAGGTGGGTGATGTACTCGCCGTTGATATTTATGCCAAATCCGTTCCAGTCCAGAAGCTTGAAGACATCTTCCAGGGCGGTGGTAAACAGTTTTGGAGATATGACGTCTCCCTGTCTTACCCCTCGCTGCAACTGGATAGGTTTCGAATCCCGATCCTGGANGGACCGTTCATTGTGGAAAACCTTGGGGGAGGCCTTTGTCCAGCAGTGGACGTCATTTGGCTGAAACGAAGATATGTTACAACAAAGGAATCTTCTTAGCAACAGAAACAAAGGCTGTGTGCTCGTCTGCTCGACGTATCGAAACAAAACAGATCATATCGGCGAATGGTATTGAACTTGCGGGGCTTTGGCACAGTGGAGACAGAACAAAAACATTCAACCCTATGTCACATTCAAGCTATCAGTAGCAGTATGTGTATCAGCCCACAAACAGAGCCCTTGGAGACCCTTTTAGGTTAGTTTAGTTTTTACAAGTTTTAATTTTTAAGGCATAACTAAAAAACGCGAGTACCTAGTAGCTGAAAAAATTACCTACCCAAACCATAATTTTCCTTTCTACAAAATACTTAGAATGTAATATTAAATCGAGCTTTTCTTCTAAACCTCAATTAGTAGAACTAAATAAGCATACATGTTTCAAAATCTACTTTGATCTTTATGAGTCCTTGGTTCTCTCAGATCGTACCTATGAAATATTAAAATAATAGACTTTCAGTAATTCCAGTAATCATTAGAATAAAGGCACGGTCTGATATTTTCATGACCTAATATAACAGGACGGACTGGTTAATTTGGATCAGGAGCGTATTTATTCTAAGTTGTAGCCTGCTTTGTGCCCGATCAGAAATAGAAACAATTAGAAACTTTGCTCAAAGTCAAGTTACTAATCTGACTGTTTATTTACCATGGATTTCAAGAGCGCTGATACTATTAACTTTTAATTAGTCATTAAGGCACGGGATACAATAGCCTTTGACAATCACGAATTAATTAATAATAAGCCGATTCACAGATAGTATCTAATTAAGTTCGATTTGATCGTGTTCCTATTTGCAGATTTAGTTGATAGTTCCATGTATAGTTGTTGCAATTCACGAAGGCGAGTGAGCTTTACATGTGTGGTGGCTCGCTACTGTTCATTTTTCAAAAGTTTTGATAGACATTATGTAAAGTAAATACTTTTTACTTTAAGGTCTATGATTTGTCTATGACTTTAAATGTCTGTCAAGAAATGTCATAGTGAAAAGTCATTGTGGAAAATATGAAGATATTTTAAGAGATATTATTAAACTTTAAATGTCGTTTTATTATCGCATTATCGCAAACATTACATGTAAAGCAAGTACACACACAAGTAAAGCTCACTCCCTTCGTGAGTTGAAAGAAATATAAAAGAAAACTTACAATAATTGTGCCCCGTATAATACAAAACACCAGGATAACCAAACAACATCAGTAAAGTTTGTCCCATTTCATATTATTTGCCTTCTCAAAGTACACAATTCTTTATACCCTTTCCGACGGTCATCTTGCGTATCGTCCAACAGCGGCCCGCGCCTCGGGAGCTTTATAATGCACTAACATACAGTAAGCTGCATACGGAGGTTAGCCCGATATAGATAAAAAGTGCAATTGATTATCAAACGCGGTGTAAAGATAAACTAACGAAGAAGATAGGTACACTTGATAACTCTAGGTAATATTTTTTGGAAGATAGGTTGACGACGGTGATTGACGGTGGTGACATTATCTCGAAGCAGAGGTAGAGTTATAAATTGACTAGGCAACGTCACAACACAAATAAATTGATACTTAGCGTTAAATTCAACACAAAATGATTAGATGACAGAACAGATAATGCAAGCATAAACTTCTTGTACTTTCTCAAGTACTGCTTGCTTAAACATAAATTAAGAAGTATTTTAAGAGTATGACACTAGATAGGAAAAACCAGCACGACCTACTTCTCCCTAATTCTTTTTGGGATTTCTGTACCGTCTTTTGACTGTGGAGGACGGTCCTTGAAACAGAGTGGGTCACTCCTTGCCCTAGGCAGTGGTCAGACAATAGTCGACCTGGTTCATCGTTGACGATGTCATAATAGAGTACGGGTCGTCATATGTCAACGCACAAAGGTGAACATTATTTAAAAAAATAAGTAAGTATAACTTGTGTTTAGTAACAGTAAAGGTAGCAGGGAAGCGCTGGACGCAGGCCGCTACCAATCGATCAACGTGGAAAGCATTGAGGGAGGCCTATGTTCAGCAGTGGACGTCCTATGGCTGAAATGATGATGATGAACTTGTGTTCATCAGATAAAGTAAACACAAGTTTACTTTATCTGTTTCATTTTTGTTGTTAAATCGAGGACGATTTTCTCTTGAACCCTAATGAAATGTTATTTAATAAAAGGGGGCTTACCCATGGCAAAGAGGATGATGAGGGCAGAGGTGAGCCAGGAGCCCATGGTGACGATGAGGGCGGGTCACATTGCTCGGGCGCGCCCTCCCGCCGTTTGTAGAGGCACTAACTGAAACAAAACCATAAGGACATTTATTTACAGAATAGTGAACCTAAATAAATTCACAGTAACGGCGGGTCGTTACATTCCCTCTAATATGGTCGAGTGAAGCGATGGCTGGTTCACTCGTCATGTCTGTGAACAGGCGCTGCTTTCGGGGACTGGTCAATCCAAGTTATTGAAATTTATGTATGCGAGTCATTTCTACTAGTATCTTAATATGTAAGTCTAGATATTAGCACGTCACTACCTTGTTTAATATACCACGCAATCTTGTATACCCATTCTTATAAGATNACGTAGATCACGTGGTGCATCACGCAGCAGGTCGCGTGGCAAGTCGCGTAGCAAGTCGCGTGATATTAGGTCGCAAGATAGTGCGCGTGCGTCACGTAGTAAATCGCGCAGACGAGATCATGTACGTAGGTCTCGTAATCGAACTCGCACACCGCCTATGTTACGGAATTCCCAGGACTGCAACTCTCAAATGCAACAGACATTGAACTCGATTCTGTCTCGTCTTCATAACATTGAGAATAACCACTCAACTAACGTACTACCTTCTCAAACGGCTAGGCACGATCAGGGCGAGTTAGACCTTTCCTCTGGTGCAATTTTAACGACACGTTCTCGTGAAACTTATAGTGTGAATTCTCATAACGATTCTCACCTAATTAATACCCCGAGTGTACAGGCTTCGGGAGCCACAACAGACCAGACACCTCAACCGCGTTGTAATAATTCATACCCTGACCATGAAGTTCAAGTGCCTGAGTCCACTCGCATATTAGCTGAGGCAATTAAATCCTTGAACTCTTCACGTTCGCAGAACTATTTCGTATCGAACTTCGATCCCGCGTTACATGATATCGACGTTTGGTGTGACGAGGTCGAGAGAGCTAGGCTCGCAAATAACTGGCAGGACTCCGAGTGTTTATCGCGTGTGTCGAACTGCCTTAAGGGCGACGCGCGTACTTGGCTAAACGAATGGGTAACTAACGACCGTACGTGGTCGAGCTTTGTGCGCGAGTTCAAACCACTGTGTCCACGAAAGTTGGACTATGCTAACATTCTTTACGAGGCAATGAATACCACCTCGGATAAATACTCTTCGTACGCCGAGTATGCGCGTCGCACTATGTTACGACTACGCATCGTTAAAGGTCTGAGTGCAGAGTTGATGGTACTAATCGTCATTAGGGGCATAACGGATCCGCAAGTCCGGGCGGCAGCAGCAAACGCTAATTTGACCGCGGATGACGTAGTATCGTTCCTCTCCATTTACACTAAGCCTGTTCGCAACAAACAAGACTCACGACCCGGTATGAATGTAAATAAAAAGCGTCCGCAAGGTAGTACTAATTACGCTTTAAAGTGTTTTGGTTGCGGGCAGACTGGACACAAACAAGTACAGTGCACGAAAAAAGCTAGATCCGATACTCATTCACCGAAACCTAGCACAGAGGCGGGTAACAGTTCTAATAGGCATATACCACGCTGCGGTTTTTGCAAAAAGTCGGGCCACAGTGAGGACGTTTGCTTTGCCAAGGAGCGATCTCAGTCTCGAAACAAGCGTAACGTTAATTTGTGTACGGAGCCTTCGCCTACTACCTCAAAGAACAACGACATCGTTACCGCGGTAGTCCAAGGTATCCCTATTGATGTGTTGATTGATAGTGGCGCTTTAAATATTTCGTTGATTTCTGCGGACGTCCTTAAGCATTTTGCTTGTGACAGAAAACCAACGACTTGTACCTTGAAGGGATTAGGTGACGGTGTTATCAAAGCAAATACGTTTGTTACTTTGACTCTCGAGTTTGACGAAATTTCTATTGAGGCCGACTTGATAGTAGTACCGGGATCTTCTATGTGCTGTCCGATTATAATAGGTACGGATATTCTCAACCGCGACGGTGTCACTTACGTACGCACTAAAGATAAACAATATTTGACACGTTCCCTTCAGAACGCAGTTTCAGTAAACACCGTAACGGCTGACGAACCAGTAACGGTAAACACACCTCTTCAAGGTGAGGAACGCGATTCACTTTTGAAAGTGATTAGTGATTTTTCCAAATTCTTTATAACCGGGACAGCAACTACTACTGTTACTACGGGAAAAATGCAAATTAATTTAACGGACAGCACTCCGGTAGCGTACCGACCGTACAAACTCTCTCATCAAGAGAAACTTAAAGTGAGGGAGATAGTTAGCGACTTAAAGGACAAGGGGATAGTTCGGGAATCCAACTCGGAATATGCGAGTCCTATTATCCTTGTCAAGAAAAAGGATGGTAGTGACCGCATGTGCGTTGACTACCGTGCCTTGAACAAGTTGACTGTTAGAGATCGATACCCCTTACCACTGATTGACGACCATGTAGACCGGTTGGGCAATTTCAAATATTTCACCAGTTTAGACATGGCCACTGGCTTTCACCAGATCCCTCTGGATGAGCAGTCCATACACAAGACAGCCTTTGTTACGCCCGAAGGGCACTTCGAATATCTTCGAATGCCGTATGGCCTGACTAATTCACCCATAATTTATCAGCGAATCATAAATAACACCTTACGGAAGCACATTGAATGTGGCAATGTCCTTGTCTACGTAGATGACGTCCTTATTATGAGTAATTCGGTGGATGAAGGTATAAGTACGTTGCGCCAAGTGTTAACTACTACTATTTCTATTTATTTATATTAACCGGCAGACAGTGGTGACTGAGTTTGTTGCGGCGCTTCTTCTCAGCACTTGCCAAATGTTGGTCTCGAAGCGCTGGTAGGGTAAAAAGATTATGAGACATGTAGAAGCTCCTTAAGAGCAAAATGACGATTTGTAAGAACTATTTATTAGTCCAAACAAATAAAGAAATTTTGACTTTGACTTTGACTTTGAGTAACTTGGTTGGTGAGATAAGCTGCGCTGTATCTCTTTTAACATATACTGTACTAGCTTTCCGCCCGCGGCTTCGTCGCCCGCATGGAATTTTGTCTGTCACAGAAAAACTTTATCGCGCGCGTCCCTGTTTCAAAACCGGGATAAAAACTATCCTATGTCCTTTACCGGGACTCAAACTATCTCTACGCCAAGTTTCATCAAAATCGGTTCAGTGGTTTAGGCGTGAAAGCGAGACAGACAGACAGACAGAGTTACTGTCGTATATAATATTATAGTATTAGCTCAGGCATGACGTAGCCGAGCCGTAGCAACGGCACTCCCCACTATTTCCTATAAAAGGACTGCGCAGACCGGCTGCCAGTCATTTGCTTGCTGGCGCTCGGATCGTGCACATCGCTCTCGGCGTGTTTCCTGGTATTCGTGAGTTATTTTATTTGTTATTTTTGTGTAAATTCTTTTTGGTTAATTTGATTATTGGTGTATCGTTTTTAGACTGATTTTGTAAATGTTAGAAGTGTAATAATTATTATTTAAGGTTTTTGTGTTGGTTTGTGAAAATAAACTGTAAGTAGTGGAATAATTGTTTTTTTTTAATAAATACCTACTTCTGAAGCTAAATTCAGAAGTGGGATTGCTTAAAGCACCCAGGCCCATTACATTCAAAATCAGTTATTTCTCAGACAATAGCAGTTTTCCATTACTATCAGTCTAAAAAGCGAAACACCAATCTTGTAACTTTTGTTGTTTTACCTTACTTTTGTTGTTTTCTTTGGATTGCTACAATTTTTCTAAAAATATGTCCGATCGACAACGGACCCCGGGCGACAGGACACGCCGAGACGATTGCATGCGTGTGTCACGTAGTAAATCACGTGAGCACAGTAGACGTAGGTCGCGGAGTAGGTCCCGCAGACGAAAGGCAACGCGTAGGTCGCGAAATACGTCACGTCGCAGGTCGCACCAACAAAATAATGCGAGTACACCGCGTATCGGATCTCGTAGACACGATCACGTACGTAGATCACGTGGTGCATCGCGCAGCAGGTCGCGTAGCAAGTCACGTGATATAAGGTCGCAAGATAGTGCGCGTGCGTCACGTAGTAAATCGCGCAGACAAGATCAGGTACGTAGGTCTCGTAATCGAACTCGCACACCGCCTATGTCACGGAATTCCCAGGACTGCAACTCTCAAATGCAACAGACATTGAACTCGATTCTATCTCGTCTTCATAACATTGAGAATAACCACTCAACTAACGTACTACCTTCTCAAACGGCTAGGCACGATCAGGGCGAGTTAGACCTTTCCTCTGGTGCAATTTTAACGACACGTTCTTGTGAAACTTATAGTGTGAATTCTCATAACGATTCTCACCTAATTAATACCCCGAGTGTACAGGCTTCGGGAGCCACAACGGACCAGACACCCCAACCGCGTTGTAATAATTCATACCCTGACCCTGAAGTTCAAGTGCCTGAGTCTACTCGCATATTAGCTGAGGCAATTAAATCCTTGAACTCTTCACGTTCGCAGAACTATTTTGTATCGAACTTCGATCCCGCGTTACATGATATCGACGTTTGGTGTGAGGAGGTCGAGAGAGCTAGGCTCGCAAATAACTGGCAGGACTCCGAGTGTTTATCGCGCGTGTCAAACTGCCTTAAGGGCGACGCGCGTACTTGGCTAAACGAATGGGTAACTAACGACCGTACGTGGTCGAGCTTTGTACGCGAGTTCAAACCACTGTGTCCACGAAAGTTGGACTATGCTAACATTCTTTACGAGGCAATGAATACCACCTCGGATAAATACTCTTCGTACGCCGAGTATGCGCGTCGCACTATGTTACGATTACGCATCGTTAAAGGTTTGAGTGCAGAGTTGATGATACTAATCGTCATTAGGGGCATAACGGATCCGCAAGTCCGGGCGGCAGCGGCAAACGCTAATTTGACCGCGGATGACGTCGTATCGTTTCTCTCCATTTACACTAAGCCTGTTCGCAACAAACAAGATTCACGACCCGGTGTAAATGTAAATAAGAAACGTCCGCAAGGTAGTACTAATTACGTTTTAAAGT